CTTCTATACTTGAATGAGATGGGCCATTTTCCACAGTTGCTACATCAGAAGAGATGCTTTTTGACCTGGGGCTATATTTATACCTATTGTAGTTCAAAACTGGGATATAGAGAAACTGATGGTGCCTTCAATTGCTCAGTCAACTTTGCAACTGGACTCTGCCCCTGGTGTGTGGACCCAATTGATTGGTAGTGTTACCAAACAGTTAACATTAAATTGATGGACATTGTACAAAGTCAGCAGTTGGGTGCATCATCTGTAGAATGCTATATCCAATTAGACCTGTAAGATATGGATGGATACCGTTGAATGATTGGCTTCCCAAAACATAGGCTTAAATTGACCAACAGTCATATTAAAAACAAATGTAGGTTTTCTGAAATGTAATGAAAGCCATCACATTGCATACTTACCAACCACTCATGTTGGTAAAATTCCAACAATTTGGCATGGAAGCCTCTTGTTTTGAGTGGAACACTAACTTTGAAGAAACAAATTATCAACTTCTTGCACGTTCAGAACGCTCCCCGGCCCCCCACCTCAAGGTATGGTATTCATAGCTGTATGTTAATAACTAGATCGCATTATGAGTGATATCAAATGATTTCTGATATCAAGGGACTGGGAACTGTTGGAAAAAGGCTCTAGTAAAGACCTGCTGAACTGTGCCTCTGTACAAAATGTAAATAGTTCCTCAGTTTGCACTAACATGGTGTCCAGTCCTCATCTCTGTCTAAAATTCCCAAAATATGTCCAGGAGATTTTCACATAGTGACTGTGGCAGAATGCAGAAGTTGACATGATGGGACAGATGGGACAGGTGGCACAGTGGTTAGCACTGTTGCCTCACAGCACCAGGGACCCGGGTTCGATTCCACCCTCAGGCAACTGTCTGTGTGGAGTTTGCACGTTCTCCCCATGTCTGCGTGGGTTTCCTCTGGGTCCTCCGATTTCCTCCCACAGTCCAAAGACGTGCAGGCTAGGTGGATTGGCCACGCTAAATTGCCTGTAGTGTGCGTGGGTTTGTAGATTAGGCGGGTTATAGGGGAATGGGTCTGGATGGGATGCTCTGAGGGTCAGTGTGGACTTGTTGAGCCGAAGGGCCTGTTTCCACACTGTAGGGATTCTATGAAAGCTGACCTCTTCCAGAGCCCTTCGACATGCACAGGGTCCTGATAAAGTCACCCACTGGATCTACTGGTGTTGTCACTTCAACAGCAACTGAACTACCTCCAGATTCGATCTGAAGCCTGAAAGAGATCAGGACAGTGCACTACCATTCATAATCAGCAGGAGCAGAGCCAGTACCATTCTGATTAAGCACAGGTCTATCCAAATATAATAAGACCTTTGATTCATTTAATTTAGTGGTGCAATTTTATAATAAACTGGAAAAAGCTTAATCAGCACCACTAGGAGCCAGGGGAGACTAGTAATCATTTCATTAACTATCTGCATTGCCTCGTTGCTAATTACCAATATAGAATATTGAGAGATAAGCTCATAAGAGTCTGCATAATGGTAAAGTTGCTGGTTGAAGCTTTAGCAGAATTATTGTAGTTCAAAGAGGACCTTACCTTCATAAAGTATTCAGACTGCACTGACATTTGCAACCCAAACAGATTATTTTTATCAGAAGGGACAGGGAAGTTTGCTGGGCACAGACTGTTTATTCAAACTCAGCACAGTTTATCAATGAATGGGCTGATAGACTCCCAGTTAAAAAAAAAGACAGAAACAATGGGAAGAGGACAGAGACACTGAATGTTCTTTGAGTCCCCACCATGATGGGAAAACCCTTCATCAGAGCAAAACCTGCTCAAGCCTGAAATACCAGGGGCACCAGAGGCCATTCCACAGGCAGTTTGCTGAAGCTGTAATGGGCTCCCATAGCATGGGACAAAAAATTTAACAAACAGATCACTCTAATCTACAACTGTTCAAGTAATAAATGAAACTGAAGAAAAATAACGTATTCTTCTTAGGAGAAGTATTAGACCCACGAGTTTATTGGCAAGAGAACTATTTTAAACTGAATATAATAGTTGGTGTATCCATTCTTTCAGATGTCAAGTGCGGGTCAAGTTTTAATTTCTCCAACTACCTTCCATTCAACTTAATGGTGCAGCAGGTATTCCATAAGAGTGTTAGCCAAAGCTATATATCAGGAGGGAGATCACTGACACTTTGCATGTTATTCTTAACCTTGATTGTTCTTTATTAAGCAGAGAAGCTTGCATGACTTTGAATTTTCTTTACTTACCAGTTGAAGCTGAAATGGACTCAGAACAAATCAGTGTTCATTTGAGGAAACACCTTTCCTAGGACCACAGGAGATTACAGTAGACTGAGTGCTTGGCAGCGCAGTGTAAAGACAACAATTTCTTCCTCAACGTCAGCAAAATGAAGGAGCTGGTCATCAACTTCAGGAAGCAGAGTGGAGGGCACACCCCTGTCTGCATCACTGGTGCTGAGGTGGAGGTGGTCAAGAGAGTCAGGTTCCTGGGAGTGCTGATCACCAACAATCGATCCTGGTCCATTCATGTCAATGCTACAGTCAAGAAAGCACCCCAATGCCTCTACTTCTTCAGGAGGCTAAGGAAGTTCAGCATGTCTACAAAGACTCTTACCAATTTTTATAGATGCACCATAGAAAGCATCCTGTCCAGATGCATCACAGCTTGGCATGGCAACTGCAAGACACTACAGAGAGTTGTGAACACGGCCCAGACTATCAGGCAAACCAGCTTTCCTTCCATGGACTCCACCTAAACTTGCTGCTGCCTCGGGAAAGCAACCAACATCATCAAAGACCCCTCCCAGCCCAGTTATACTCTCTTCCACCCTCTTCGATCAGGCAGAAGATATAAAAGTTTGTATACACGTACGAACAGATTCAAAAGCAGCCTCTTCCCCACTGATATCAGACTTTTGAATGGACCTCTCAAATGTTAATGTTGATCTCTCTCTGCAACTTCTCTGCGGCTGGAGTACTGTATACTGCACTCCGTTCTGCTACCCTGATACTCTTTGTATAGCACAATCTGTCTGTATAGCACAATCTGTCTGTATAGCACATAAATAAACTTTTCACTGTATCACAGTGCATGTGACAACAATAAATCAAACTCAAAAACAGATTGTGCATTTCTCCTGAAGGAGAGACTCATAGAAACGGGGAAATGTTGCATCAAGGATGAAGGTGACATACTGCAAGATGACATTCCAGAACTTGCATTATTCTTAAAGGAAAAGAGTAGAAAAGGATAAAGATACAAATGCTGCTGATGATTTGTTGGAAGAGATCCTGAATTTTGCTCGATTCTTCGAAGACAGCATAACTGATAACGTTGTCCAAAAGCTCTCTCAGTTTATTTGAGAAGAATCAATGTTTGTTGAAGAACATTATAAAAGAAATAAATTTGTCTGCCTGTTCCACTGAAGAATCCAGTGTTTTAATCTCACAAAGCCACCATCGCTGCAAATTGGGCAGGCCTTGACACACTGTGGGAAAATCCTTCCGAAATGTCAGAGGTGCTGGGAATGCTCCTGATGGGTAGCAGTAGACAAAGAGCTTTAAGCTGCAAAACAAGTTGAATGAAATGTTTGTAGCATATTTCCAATACTAAATAGATTCTTTTTTATCTTTTTCTGGTTCTTTTAAACACATATCATTGTATAAAGGTGGTGTCTTTTATATTCTTTAAGAATTTATTGGTATTGTTGGTTAATTATTCCAAGCATATGTATCATTTTCTTCTCAAGGATATTTAATGTTTCTTATTGAAGGTGTGTGACTGAGTGAGTCAGGTAAGTGGGTAAGGAGCATGTGAATAGTCAAGTATCTAGATAGGGTGGAGGTTGGAAGGATGTTTGGTACGCTGAGTACAAGGATGAAGGGTGGCAGTTGGGTAGAATGGTAGGTGGGTGAAGCAGTAGGGTGTGTTAGGTGCGAGTCTCAGAGAGGAGTTGGTGGTTGGGTTTGGTTTGGGTTGGGAATCAAGTTGAGGGGAGCATGGGAAGGGTTTTGATGGGGAGAATCGTGTCAGAGGGTATTGGTCGGATCAATGGAGAATCGGGGACAGTCACTTGTGTAGTTATCTAGGAATTAAAGCAGGTTTTAATCTCTGTAATCTTGCCTGGTTAACTGTTTATGTAAATGAGTGACAGCATCCAAAATCTCCAGTTTGAATTCAGTGCTGAAGACACAAAAACAGAAATTGCTGGAAAGGCTCAGCAGGTCTGGCAGCATTTGTGGGGACAGATTAAAGTTAATGTTTCGGGTTCAATGGCTGTTCTTCCGAAGAGTTGAAGGCTGTTTTGGAAGGTTCTAGATGCCAGTGATTACCTATCAGACGGTTACAATTCCAGACAATTAGTCAGCAATTGCATAGTGAATTCCTCATATTCCAACAACCATCTCCAGTCAAAGCTGCTGAAGTGACAATCTTCCTTTTGGAAGTTCTGGGTCATGATGTCCTTCTTATTATGAATATAGCTGTTGAGAAAATACCTGATTACAGAGTAAAGTCTTCTAAATCCTCAAGCAAGCTTGCAGATCACAATACTACAAAGGAGCTTCCTGTAAATCCCAATTCAATGAAATGTCTAAAGATAAAGAAGAACCTAGGCATAGTGTAGCCAACCTTCTACATTCATATCAGACTGATTAAAATCTCTCATTGCAATCATCTGCCAATCTCGGCAACTGGACTGTTTCAGAACATTATTATCACCACCTTCCCTGGCAAGCTGTAGGTTATTTAAAGATAATGCCATTTACTAAGTAGAAGGATTTCTTTCATCTCTAACTCCATTGCTTTAACAGCAGAAGCCCTGTTTGTACAGAGACAAAAAAAAACTGCAGATGCTGGAATCCAATGTAGACAAACAGGAGGCTGGAAGAACACAGCAGGCCAGGCAGCATCTGGAGGAAAGGAGCAGCGAATGTTTCGGGTAATAATACACAGGCATAGAATTAGCCTGTATTTGTCACATACCTCCTGAATCGGCTAATTTCAGATTGTCAGTGTTATCTTCGTAAGTGTACAGGGCCCTGTGGAGAGAAGGAATTCAAACCAGTTAATCGTGTTGCCACCACAACATATCCAGCCCACCTGAATTTAAAAAAATTGGCAGAAATTAAATAAACTAACTTCAGTGCTACAGTTACTCTGCATGTTCAGTGATGCACTGTAGTTCAAGATTCTGCAGTTCTCTAACTGACTACAGCATTGTTACATATTCAATTTCAAAGACAAAGGACATGGAGATTCATAAGAGCAAACTGTATAATTACACCAGGAATCCCACAATTCTACAACACAGTAAACTGAACTGTATCGATGCTTAAGTAACCCCAAACATAAGAGAGCACAGAACAAAGAAAAAAATGCCAGTTGTCTATCGCTTCCAGACCTTGCGTAATAAATCCCAACAGGATACATTTATTTGGCAGCTTCAATGTATTTTCACAGAAAGTGAAATAAACTCTTTCCTTTCAGTCCTGTTCCTAACTAACTATTTAGTGGGGGGCAAATAAATATTGAAATGACAAAGTACAAGATTACAATAATTCCAGAAAGTGAAAATAATCAGAGATTAGAAACTAGAGAATGAATGTTAAATGAAATATTGGAGAGATATACACAGAAGGCTTTGTGAGGATATAAAACAGATAGTAAGGTGGAGGGAGCTAAATGCTTCTGTTTTTGCCAATTTTGAACGGGAATAAACTGCTCATCTCAGAGAAAACTGTATGTAATAAATGGAAAGAATGACAAGGAACCAAAACTGTGGGCAATTTATGTTGGATGTGAAAGATTAAAACTCACTTAAATCTACTGGAAGATATTTCTACATGTTTCTTTTTAACGTCTCTTCAAAGATAATCAAATTAAGACTTCAGAACAATTATCAAATATTACATCCTTCATTAAGTTATTCTTGATGGAAAACTTTCCATAATATGATGCTTCCATTGAGTCAGCTACACAGGAATTATTGTAGTCCTGTACTTTGTTATTTCAATCTGCATTTACCCTCCACTAGCTAGTTGGTTAGGAACAGGATTGAAGGTAATGAACTTACTTTAAATACATAATCAGTCAACATAGCAACAAACACTTTTGCAAGTTCTTTTGTGTGTCCGTTGTTCTGTGAAAGGCAATAAAGGTCCTTTTATCCTTGTTTAGAGCTTGCTAATCTTATATTTGCATCAAGTTCTACATTCAGAATCACAGTTTAATAAGGTGTCTGAACCAATATATTTGCATCCCTTTCAGAATTTTTAACAGTGGGATCATGCTTGACCACATCTTTGTTTCAAGGAATAGAAAATCCTAGGCTCCATTGTTTGATCCCAGCTAATGGGAATACTAGATCATAGAGTCATACAGCATAGAAACAGACCCTTCAGTTTAACCAGTCCATGCCAAACATAATTCCAAACTAAACTAGTCCCACCTGCCTGCTCCTGACCCATATCCCTCCAAACCTTTCCTATTCATGAACTCATCCAAATGTCTTTTGAATGCTGCAATTGTATCTGCATCCACCACTTCCTCAGGAAGTTCATTCCATAACTGAACAACCCTGTGTAAAAAATTTGTCTCATGTCTTTTTTAAATCTCTCTCCTCTCACCTTAAAATGTGCCCCTAGCCTTGAAATCGCCCATCCTTGGGAAAAGTGTGACAGATCTCAGAGTAACCTGGCCGATTGATGACAAGTCTTTTTTGTGCAATTTTGTTACCGTGACCAGTCATTCAATATATTTGCAGGAGGTTGCCAAATGTTGTTTAAATAAAACACAAATTTATTGAACAAAATACAAAAATATATTACTAAGAAAATTTAGAATGATCTGAACATAAATACCAAAGACAAACCACCTTTTCCTCAGCACCATCCTTTATAGGCATTCAATCCCAGAGACAAACAACTCCTACCTTAATTTTTTTTTTTACTTAGCTGAAAGGTTCCAAGTATTTCCTTTTGCTGACTTTCTACACATTCATCAAATGTGATTGTCTCCATTGCTGTGTATCCCTGAGATACTCAAGCACTGCCTACTTTATTGAATGTTCCTAACTGAACTTAAAGAAAAGGTCCTGTCTACTTAAACTTCTACAATAGTTTTAAGACCAGGCTTTCAGAGCTGGTAAGAACTACCACAAACTAAAGTGCCCTTAGAGTCATAGAGCTGCACAGCACAGAAAGAGACCCTTCAGTCCAACTCATCCATGCCAACCAGATATCCTAAACTGATCCAGTCCCATTTGCCAGCATTTGGCCCATATCCCTCTAAATCCTTCCTATTCATATACCCATCCAGATGCCTTTTAAATGTTGTAATTGTACCAGCCTCCACCACTTCCTCTGGCAACTCATTCCATACACGCACCACCCTCTGCGTGAAAACGTTGCCTCTTCGGTCCCCTTTAAATCTTTCCCCTCTCACCTTAAACCTATTCCCTCTGGTTTTGGACTCCCCCACCCCGGGGAAAAGACCTTGTCTATTCACCCTATCCATGCCCCTCATGATTTTATAAACTTCTACAAAGGTCACTCCACAGCCTCTGATGCTCCAGGGAAAATAGCCCCAGCCTTTCCAGCCTCTCCCTATAGCTCAAACCCTCCAATCCTAGTAACATCCTTGTAAATCTTTTCTAAACCCTTTCAAGTTTCACTACATCTTTGTTAAAATAAGGAGACCAGAATTGAATGCAATATTCTAAAAGTGGCCTAACCAATGTCTTGTACAGCTGCAAGATGACCTCCCAACTCCTATACTCAATGCACTGACTAATAAAGGCAAGCGTACCAAATGCCGCCTTCACTATCCTATCTACCTGTGACTCCACTTTCAAGGAACTATAAACCTGCATCCCAAGGTCTCTTTGTTCAATAACACTCCCCAGGACCTTACCATTAAGTGTACAAGTCCTGCCCTGATCTAATTTTCCAAAATACAGTAACTCACATTTTTTAATTAAACTCCATCTGCCACTCCTCGATTCATTGCCCATGTCATGAATTGCAAAACAACGATAGTACAGAATAGCTACTACATTTCCCCACATGAAAATCACCACACTTCAAAGATGATCAATTCTCAAATGCTTGATACAGTACAACCCAAGCTGCTATTTACTGCAAATGCTACACATGGAGAGTCCACTATAATTACATATTTTCCCATTTCATGCACAGGAAGGTGGAGAATAATGCTCCCTCTGTCCTGTCCAAAAAACATGTCTACCCACAAGCTTAGAAAGACATTCTACTGCATTGACAGTGTGTACATAGATTGATGTGATATGTCTAGCATGCGGTGAAGAGTTAACATGTTTCTTACTGTGTGTGCACTTCTCTTTTTCAGCTTACACCGCTGATTAGTCATAACACAAAAATGAATACAAGCCTCAGTTGCTGACATAGAATTTCTCGACTGAAGTCCTCTGTCATGCATACATATAGCAACACAAGAAACTGGATTCCTTGTGGAGTTATCCAACTCTTCCCAAATTTAGAACCACATAGATGCCATTCATTGAAAATTTTCATAAAATATACCTTCATTTAATAGGATGAAGTAAAAAAAAAACAAATTTTTAAAAGTAAACTCCTGGCTCTGGATCTTCATCTAAGAATCCATGGCTTCTTGGCTGACTGTAGAACATAATTTCACCCTTCCCTGTTGAGCAATGTTGATGGAAGGAAAGATCAGAGAGAAGGGAACTGGATGGATGAGCAGAGATGTGTAAAACCCTCCCCAAACCCTCCGATGCCTTGACAGTAAGAGTGCGGCTTAACCCAGAGAAATCTAAAGCCAGTTATGGGCACATTCAAGTCATTGATAACCCACTTTACAATTACATCCAACTATTTCAGCCTCTATGCCACTACATTAATGTTACTGCCTCCCTGGTAGCTTGGCAGTCTCTTAAAAGAGCAGAGATATTACTAGAATACTCAACTAAAAAGACAATTGGAGTTCAGGTTGTGTTATACAGACTTGCCCTGATCTGCTTCTGGCAGCAACTTGAGAAAAATGAGCGCACTTTAGGATGGTAACTATAATTGCAATATTTGAATATCCTTTGCTACTGCATTTAGGCATATGCTCCACAAATCAGATGCCAATCTTGTACCCACTAGATATCACTCAGTTAATAAAAAAGTTTGTGTAAGTTAGAACGGCTTCATTTTAAATAGGGTCAACCTCAGGGAAGCTGTCTGCACTTTCTCCTTTCACCCGGAATGTAGCAGCCAGCTCCACCCATCTCTCGACAGCTCATTAATAGTGTTGTGTCTCCTTCTGTTCCCGGTTTAGAGTGTCTGCAGGAATAATGTTCTGATTAACAAAGTCATATTTGACCAAAAAACATCTCATCCATAACTGCAGTGTTCATTTAAACTAATCATAGTGCAAGGTTTATTTAATATCAGTTTCCATCCAAAGTACAAAAAAAAGTTTATTAATAGAGCCTCTTCAGACACTGGAAGTGATCATGGTAAGAAATAAATCAATAACTTTGACAACTAGTTACTAATCAAGAGAACAGACAGTCACATGTGGAAACACAAGACGTTCCATGAAATGTTGAGAAGCGCTTATTAATATCCAATGTTATGACGTTAAATAAACCCTGCAATCTGGTTAGTTTAAATAGAAACTGTACTTATGGATTTGACCACAGATGACTTCATCAGAGTGCTAATCCTACATGCTTTCGAAACAATAAACAAGAATCAGAAACAGTTTTTGGCTTCAATTTGGTAACAAAATGGTGTGCACCCACCTCCCAAGAACTACATTGCATTTCCTGAATTCACTGAGGGACACATGACGTTGGCAGCATACTCAGTGCACATACAAATCAACATTGTTCAGTCTAGGAGCACCCAGAGTCAGCTGTACAAAATAGAAAATCTCCTCTGACTTCGATACAAAAAGTGTAATGTCACAGAGAAGCATGGCCCACATACACACCCATGCAACAATCCACATGGGGGTTCTGATCTCAGTCGTGACACTGCGAGGTTCTATAGGC